GGTGGTTCTCTCTTTCCGCCATGTGAATCCCAGAGATCGAACTCAGGCTGTCAGTCTTGACAGCAAGCTCCTTTATTGCTGAGCTATCTTGATGGTCCTCAGTATGAACTCTTATGATTAGTTTCTTTAAAAGAAACCATTCTCTTTTTGTAAAAAAAAAAAAAATTCTCTCTCTCTCTCTCTCTCTCTCTCTCTCTCTCATGTGTGTGTGTGTGTGCTTCTGCTTCTGTGTGTCTACATGCATTGTTGTGCATGTGGAAGTCAGAGGACAACTTTTGGGAGGCAGAAAGTGGCTTGTCATGGCCACACAGTCTGTGTGAGATCTCATCCTAAACACCCTGCCCCCAAGCTCCTGGACCCTTGTCTGGAGCTGTTTCTCCTTCATTCTGTTACAAGCTTCACCCCTCACAGCACTGTGCATGGTACCAGGGACACAGCTGACATTCAATATATATTTCTCAAATGTGGGCTGGAGAGATGGCTCAGGGGATAAGAGTACTGGTTGCTCTTCCAGAGGACCAAGGTTCAGTTCCCAGAACCCACATGGCAGCTAACAACCATCTGTGACTCCTGTCCCAGGGGATCTGATGCCCTCTTCTGGCCTCCATAGGCATTGCATGCATGTGGTGCACTTACACACATGCAATCAAAACCCTCATATACATAAAATAAAAATATTTTAAAAATATTCCTTAAATGAGTAAGCAAAAGAAATCACTTAGGTATCTTGTTTCAAAAGCTTTTTTAAGGCCGGCAAGATGACTCAGCAGGTAAAGGTGCTTGCCACCAAGCCTGAAGACCTGAATTTCATTCCTGGAAGCCACATGGTGGAAGGAGGGAATCAGTTCCTGCAAGTTATCCTCTGTCTTCCACATGTACTCTGTGGCATGTGTACACACACGCTAAATAAATAAAATGTAATAAAAATATTTTTTAAAACTTTGAAAAAAGTATTTTTAGCTTCCATCTGTATTTTGGGAAGTGAAGTATCTTCTCAAATACCTATCTTTCCCTCCATTTTAATTCCTAAGAGACGTCTCAGAGTGTGGCCAAGGGAAAGTCCTCATCTTCAAGCTGTTGCTCCACTCCTTAAAACACTGTTCAGTGCTATTAGTGGACTCCATGGGCTAGGGATGTGGCTCTTTTAGAGTGCTTGCCAAGCAGCACCAAGACCTAGGTTTGATCCCCAGTACTTCATAAACCAGGCATGGTGGTGCACATCTGCAGTCCCAGCACTGGAGAGGCAGAAGCAGGAGGACCAGAAGTTTAAGATCATTCTTAGCTCTATAGGAAGTTCAAGGCCAGCCTGGGCTTCAAGAGATCCTGTCATAAAACAAAACAAAAACCAAGAAAAATAGACAGGTCCTATTCCTTTCTATTTGCTGATTTCCCCCTTCCTCCTAAATTTCTCGTGTAAGATATTCACAGAACGATTGTGGAAAAAAACCAAAACCAAAAACTGTGAGGGAGAGTTCTTCCATTCATCCTCAACTGGAACTTGGTAGGGTGGGTGGGACCTCTCAGCCTTGCTGGGAGCTTTACACAACCATGTTGTAGACAGAGGAGGACATGAGAGAGCGCTCAGGACTGCCTTGACACCAGCAGCTTCTCCACCGCATCCTGCCACCTTTCCTATGAAGCCTAGCCCAGTTCCTTCTAGCCCGAATCCTCTTCTCACTTTAAAAATATTGTGGCATTTGTGGTTTTCATTCACATGCTCTGTCAATCATTTCTAAATTACTAAGTGCATCTAGTTGTCCTAGCAATCCACAAATTAATTCAAAGTATACACATCAACTATCACCACAGTCACAGGGCATAAATGAAAGACCTTCTAGACTTGCTCCAGTTTTGTCTCTTTTAGTGGCTACCTTTGTTTGTTTACACTGTTTCAACCCATATATATAGTATTTTAATTTATGGAAATCTAGTTTTCACTTTGTTTTACAGCAACAGTACCACACAGTATTATGTTCTGCAATCATCATCTTCTTCCTCGCCAAAGTCTAGGGTGTCCTCCTCCCCCTCCTCCTCCTCTTCTTCTCCTCCTCCTCTTCTTCTTCCTTTTTAAATAGCATGCCTTGGTGATCTTTCTCTGTTTCTATATATTTACCCTGGCTTCATTCTTTTTATAAAAATTTGTTTATTTTTATTTTATGTATATGAGTGTTTTGCGTGCATATATGTAAGTGCACCACAGTGCCCATGGAGGCCGGAAGAGGGCATCAGATCCCCTAGAACTGGAGTTATGGATGGTTGTTAGCTGCCAAGTGGGTGCTGGGAACTGAACCCGTGTCCTCTGCAAGAACAGCCAGTGCTCTTAATTGCTGAGTCATCGCTCTAGCCTCCGCTTCCTTCTTTTTAACTGATGCCTAACATTGCAAAATATAGATGCACCAGTGATTATGTAGCATTCCTTACTTATTGCTGTTCAGTTGTTTTCAACATTGAAACTACCAGAACTCTGCGATGAATGTCCTTACACATGGAACACATATGTGTGCCTTCTTTAGGATTTATATCAAGAAATGGTGTGCTGGGCAGCAAAATGGCTCAGAAGGTGGAGGTGCTTGTAGTCAAGCCTGAAAACCTGAGTTTGATCCCTGGGACAAACACATGTACATATACCACATACACACGCACACACAAATAAATGTAATAAAAAATTAAAAAAAATAGTGCCCACCTGCCCTCTTGATTGCCTTTATCAACACCCTCACCTCTAGGCAGAGTATGAAAATATCTGCTTTCCTACTAGCTTACAGAGGTCACTTTTTACCACTTTCTACATCTCCTAGACCTGTGCTGGGAAGCTTTCTGGCATCTGTGCTGCTTCCCCCATCCAGAACTCTATGAGATCAGTGAAAACTTGCTGAATGATTCCTAACCAAACATTTTTTTTTTCTCAAATCTTTGCAATATATGCTTTCCTAAAGCACTTCCCAAGACTTCAACTAACTTTGAGGTTATTTCTTCAGAATGAAAAACATTCTTAAGACAGTTGAATTTTTGCACAGGCCTCGGGGTAGGTACAGATAGCTTCCATTTAAAGCTGCCTGCAACAGAACTCACCTTCTGCTATGCTGACAGGCGGCAGATTAAACAGACATGGTTACCTCAGACAATAGCTAGCAGGGTGTCCCACTGGCCAGGGTACAGCAGACCAAAGGCGGCTGGGAAACCCCGGGAACTAGACAGAAGATGGGGTAGGGCCAGGTTCCTCTGGATCCACAGAGGTAAATTCTCTACAGAGTTCTGAAATGGCGCAAAGCATGCATAGTGTCTGAAGGCTGAGGGTGAAGGGACCCAGGTGAGGCAGAACTGTGTTAGAGCAGGAAAAACCAAAGGAGAGGCAAACAGAGCACACGAGATGGGATTTGGATGCAGGCAAGAGGGAATTTTGAAGATGTGGATTATTTTATTAAGATACAGTTTCCTACAACGCAATTCCAATATTTCAATTCCAAAATAGTAACATTTCTGAAAACCTAAAACACAGCAAATTCTGGAGTATTCAGTTGCCAGAGTTCCTTAAAGGGGATTGGGGGTTAGCTTTCAGTGCGGTGTGTGTGTGGACTGAGCATTACGCCCGGCTTAGTTTGTTTTGAGACAGCCTAAATGAAGACATCTCGCTCTTAATATCGTTTTCTTTTTCTTTCACCTACTGAACCATTTTAAGTGGCAACTGCACAACCGGTTGAGGGTACAATCGTATTTCAACACAAACACATGTGATTGAACTGAGACCATCGTTTGCCATGGTGGATTGCAGGCTCAGGAGCTGGGGTACTGCCCTCCAGTCCGGGCTGCGGAGCCTGGTTCCCATTGTGCCCCAACACACAGGGGGCCCGTGCTTTGGCTTTTTGGCCCCTTTCCACTGGTCCCCTATACTCTACACCCACCCCTTGGGGCCCGCTGCCCAAACGCTGCAATAAATGGCCAGGCCTAAATTAGGCCCACGGGTGGCCCACTTCACCCAGGCACAATGAACGATGCAAAGCTCGTGGAGACAGGCTCATTCGGCGTTGGGGGGGGGGGGACCGATGCCCCTTTGGCCATTGTTGAGAGGAACAAAGAGGGCAGGAGCTGAGGGCGCCCCCATGAGGAGAGGCGTGGAGAGACACCCTTGGGAGCGATGGCAGGCTGGCGGGCAGGAATGGGGTGCACCTGGGTGGTGCGCTGACAGCTTGGGAAGCAGGGTTGCCTCCCCTCGGCGGTGCCCGGGGCAGGCTTTTTCTGAATTGACTTTTATTCTCCTTTTCTTCGTATTATTA